GTCTTCTCCTATGTTCCCAATGGGAATGTCTTCAGCAATTTATCGGACATGGCATAGCAAAGGTATCCGGGCCTTACAAGATCTCTTAACTCCCCAAGGCACATGCAGAACGTTTCCAGACCTTATAGCGACTCGCCAACTATCCCATACTCACTTCCTCCAATATGGTCAGATCTCCACCTTCCTCAAATCCCACTTCCGTCTCCCCGTACACCCTGACACTAACTCCTCTTTCTCCAAATTGATGACACATCCAGCACAAAAACTTTCTCTCGCGCGGGCATATTCCATACTTCGCCCCTCTCCTGATGATACCCCTTCCATGTTACCATGGTTTGCACACAAATGGGCCACACTACTACAGATCTCCCCAGAGGATTCCTACGACTTGATGCTCAGGGGATGGCATGATGTTCGTAAGAATGTCTGTAGCGAGCAGTGGAGAGAGGTGCAATTTAAATTAATCCATAGAGTGTATTGTGCCCTTAACTTGGGCCCCAATAACCCACATACGAATTGGCTCCAATCTTGCCCCACGCCCCAACCTGACCCATCTTTTTTGGCAATGCCCTAGTATTCAATGATTTTGGGAAACTGTACTCCGTTATATGTCGCTGTTGTCAACCCTCTCACGGTTACTTACCCCATCTTCTTGCTTATTCCATGTAGCACAAGACCCCTTGATTAGCTGTCACTCTTCATTCTCCCAATGGGAACATTACTGCCTTTTGGCTGCTAAAAAAATATTCTTAGAGCTTGGCTTCTTACTACCCCACCCACTTTAGCAGATGTTGGCACTACTCTGCACCACCTCATGCTCATCCATAAACTTGACACTAAACACAACCTACATTTCACGGATAAATTCTTTAAGACCTGGACTAAGTTCTTGTTGCACGAAATGACAGCCTTAATTGCAAGATGTGATGTCCCTATTTCAACATTCCTCTTGGTATCTCCTGGCTAAATCTGATGGGTCCTTAGGCGAACTTGATGTTTTCTGACTTATATTTTTAAATACGCATAGTTATGTCTCTCTAATAACATATGAAGGTGTTTACGGCTACATAGGTGTATATGTTCCATCTCATCGCCCTTTCACGCCCACACCCAGGTGAACTCCCATCTGCTAGCAGATACTCATTGCATTGCATTTCAATCATACATGCTTCAACCATACACATTTCAATCATACACATGATTTAGTGTATCTATAACTTACTCTTTTCCCCCTTTCCCCTTCCCCCCTTCTTTTTATCTCCTCTACTACATCCTTACGCGTGACCCTAGACGTCATCCTAACCTATACCGAAAACAATCTGGGTGTGTTCTTACTTCTTACCTCATATTACTTTCATGACATTATTGTTATTTCCAGTAAAAGACTGTTGAGGATATAAAATCACATGATATTTGTTTTAATGATGAAAACGCATTAGTTGCCTACGACATGTATCCGGCTGGATGCATGACTGTATACCATTGTTTATGATTCGTCTACCACCAGTTATGTATTCTACAAAATTCAATAAAGATATACATGCTTTTTTTTAACTTTAATTGCCATCACATCTTACAAGCCCCCCATGTGATAGCAGATTAATGGTGACAGGTACTCTTTAAGGTAACGCCGGAGGATCCAAAAGACCCATAGTATCACCTTTGTACTCTAAGCTATTGAAGTGCAGATCACACTTCAATAGCTTATAACTGGGCTTCAGGAGCCCAGCAATGACAGCTATGGGACCGGAAGTGGTGCAATATGTGTCGCTCCCGGTCCCATAGTACGGGAAGGGGATCGGCGAATGGGGGTTCGCCCATCTCCTCCCCAGCTTCCCCCCGACACCAAAAAAGTTGGTCCCGGGCACGTAAGAGGGGTAACGGAGCCCG